CTTTTGGTAACGGTAATGCGGTCTGTCACAATAAGTAACTTTAGTACCTCATACAAATATGTAACTTTCTTTGGTTACGCATCTTAACGCATCCGTTTTCTCTTACGCGTCAGAACGCGTTGGTTTTAAACGCGTTTCAATGCGTTTGTAGTTCATTAACGCGTCGAAACGTGTCCATTTTCAGCAAAAACGCGTTAAAACGTGTCAGCCATCCAAACTAACGCGTTGTCTCCAAAAAAAAGCCTTGCCTAGGTGAATGAAAACAATATTCAGATACACCACTGTAGAGTATTTCATGTGACCGATCCAACTATGTATGAACCACCAAAAATGAATAAAGTCAGAGAGAACGGTAGTAAAAGTTATGCGTGCAGTTTCTTTTTACCAATCGCTATACGTTGATCCTATTGCGTTCTAATAGTCTTCTATTAATTTATCTAAAACAAATCGTTTTAGTCAAAAGCCAAAATGAATGGTAAATAAATCGCAGTTATGCTCAATGCATTTCTCTTTAGCATTTTAGCCTTTGTTCTGGAATTAAATTATTTAAAACAAGAACAAGAAAGAGATTTATCGACAAATTGAATCTTTTACAGAAATTTGTAAAGAGAAATAGATCATCTTGACACTGTTGGCAGCCTATAAATCATGACTTTCAATCTTTATCGTTACCTGTAAGAGTACTTCGTCCATTTGAAGCGCTAATGACGTTCGGAGTCGTCATAGTCGATTACAGGTGAGAGTGGTCTGTTTTTCCAAGTCACTTGAAGAACCTTTTTCACTTTTTCTCATTTTTCAAATGCTTTTTCCAATGAATTTCATTTAAATTAAATTGCTAACTAATTTAAACTAAAATATTCATCTAACTGAACTGAAAATTCAGCTGTAAGAAAACTGGGCATGCAACAGTACTAGTATCATCAATACCAGTACTAGAAATATTGATCGTTAGTGGTTATTTGGTACAGCAACGAATTGTTTGCTTATATATTTTGACATGTCTGCAGTAAGCAAGCCGCTTGAGCAAATCTATTCACGTTATCATACGTCTTCTCGAAGAAATGGACAATTATATGAGTTCGACAACAGTCATAAAAAATATGTTCATCTTGTGTGCTTCCTACGTAGTGATAGAATTTATTATCATAGAGAAAACAATAGACCGGAACAAAACAAAAACATCTTTTTCTTCTTCTTCTTCTAAGTTATTTCACTCCTGCTATTCGTTCAGCTATTCTCTACCCCTTTCGTCTCTTGAGAGAAAAACATGAGAGAAAACCAAACGGTCTGTATAAAATTACTCATTCTTGTTTTCTATGAAAACTACTGAATGGTAGCAAGGTAGGTAGCAATCATTTCTAGAAATTATCATCATGTTATGAGCACTGATCAATACCGGCGCTTCGATACTGTTGCATGCCCAAAGACAACCTCGCAGGTGTCGAGGAGTTTTGAGAAAATTACTCGATTTATGGGTTTTTAACAGTAATAAAATGTTCGAAGAATACTATTGCATTTTTCTCAACCGATTCCAATTATGAAACAGTAGCTAATTTGATAAAATGAATGATATAAGTATATCAAAGTGAAAGGAAACTCTAAAGAAAAAGTTACGATTATACAAAAACATTTTAGGCGATTAAATAATATGTTTACATTATTTTCAGGTTTCGCCAATGAAGAACTGTTGGATGAAATATTATTTTTAACCGTAGCTGCTGTTGAAACAACTTCAACAGCATTGTCATGGTTCATTTTCTATATGAGTAAATATCCGCATGTTCAACAAAAAATCAAACAAGAACTATTAGCAAATAATATAACAAAACGAACATATCTGACCTCTGAGACAGTCGATAAACTTGTCTATGTTGATTGTGTTTTAAAAGAGTTATTCAGATTTGCTCCAAATGTGGATATAACAGTTAGAACGGTGATAGAGGAAGATGAAATTGAAAATGTTAAACTAAACAAAGGTGACACTATATTTATTTCATTTTCTAATATACATAAAGATAAACGTTATTGGAATATAGATCCAAATCAGTTTTTGCCGGAGCGATTCTTAAATGAAGATAAAAATCATTCTCCATATGCTCTTCTTCCATTTGGTGGCGGTCATCGTCAATGCCCCGGTCAAGATTTCGCTCGTTTGGAATTGAAGATAATTATATCACGCCTTATGCAATTCGTCACATTTACTGATGGAGGAGAAAAAACAAATAAGGGTGGGTACAAACAACGGTTTACGGTTACACCACAACAAATGGCTGTTCATATTAGTTTCGATTGAATTACGTAATAGTCGGTAGCTAAAGATCAATGACTCATCGTTTTTACAAGCTACTTTTCACTGCTATCGGCCTCTGCCTTTACGTTGGAGCATTTTGTAATTATATTTTGTCCTAATAGCTATTTTGATATGACTTAAATTCTTGCTATAGCCGTCTTTCGCGGTTTGCATTTGAAAAATATTTAATCAGTCTCTCTGCTAAATATTCAGCGTTACAGAAAATGATAAATCAAAGGATTTCTTTGGTGAAGATAAGCTATCGTAACTTCTCAAAAGAGATACAAAGCTGTCCTAATTGACTTTGCAAGATCAAACAACATCAGAAGCGGGGCGGTGAAACTGAGTGTGAGTTTACGAAAAAAAGTATCTCTTTTGAGACGTAGCCTAAGCTATCACCAAAAATGTCATCACCAAATTCAAGAGCCATCACATTTTGTGGTGTTTTGGCCCCTTCGAATGCATGTTTTAGCTTAAGCTTAAATTAAACTTAATTTTGAATAGCGGATTAAATTCAAGCCTCAGTTTAAAGTGTTTTTGTACAAGTAACTAAGTTATTGAATGAAAATAATAAATATCATCTTTTCTGATTGATTTGTATCATTTCGTATAACGACACTCGTTTTTTCTCTTTTCTTTTCTCTCAAGAATTTCTATTTTATATATGTTAACAGTGTCTGTTATATGCAATTATGAAAGAAATAAAATTACTGTGTATTTATTTTCAGCTCACTCTCTAATTGAGCCTGCAGTGAACAAGATAGCTTGTTTGCATCACGTTCCCGAAGAAAAAACCGGGTAAAACATGGTGAAACTAGCATGTTACCTGCATTTGACCCTACTGAGGTCATATTCCATCATGTTCTCGAAGAAAAGTCCGAGTAAAACATAATGTAAAGTAGTCTGAGAAAAAGTCACTGAACCTTTGCAAGCCCTGGGATGAATGCTTGCCGTTTGATTGAGACTTTTTTGAAGAAAACTTTACAGTTCTCATTGCTTCACATTTTTGAAGAACTGCAGTAATCAAATTATTGTCTTAATCGCATGATGTTTTACCCAGTTTTCTCTTCGGGAACATGATGCAATCAAGGAAAATCATTTACGCTCAGTTAGAGATCAACCTTTTCATTCATTTCCCACCTCTGTGGATTTTTATTCCGAGAGTTTCAACAATTAACATGTTTAATTGAGCCTGTACATCACAAAACTGCTGAGTTTGTACATTCTCTAAGAAAGAACATCGCCTTTTGATACTCAGATTGACTGACGAAACAAATTTCCAGTTTTTCTACAATTAAGAATGGTTTTTGAGTTTCACTACTCCTTCAGTCAGTTGCAGGAATTGAATCTTTGAAATGATATAGCAGAAAAAAGAATTCTCTGTCTTTCTTGCGGTCCAAAAAAAACATCAAGGGTTATGATCCATAAAATATCAGATATAACATGAAAGAACCAATCACAAGTTTGTTAAGTATATCTGTTATAGTATCGTTTCTAGATCAAAATCAATTTATTACTTTTAATTCGCACAGTTTTATGGCTTAAACCAGTTCAAATCTCACTTTTTAAAATTTGAATAACGTTCGGTAACTACAACTGCCATTATCACCTTTCAATTTTTGGTGTTACCTCGAACAATAAGCTATCACCAAAATG